CCATAAAGAAAATTTTTCTTTGACCAACCTTCTATCTTGGTACCCAATTTGCTACATTTTACAGAAATACATCTTTAACACGTTCCACAAATTCTGATGTCCGTACACAAGAAAACCGCTCCTAATGTGCCCATTATTCCACAGAACATCCTCGTATGAATAAACACATAAAAGAAAACATTGTCCTACACACACATAAATTAAGAACACATTGTCGCCCATTAGTATGAGACGAAATACTTTCGTGCCATTCTAACTTTGGACTACCTTTCTCTACTTAATCCTTTCTGGACACTATTTTGTGAAAAAAATGGCTCAGCTTCCCAAAAGCTCATTATCCCCTGATTAAATAGTGTGCAGAGATACTCCTGGAGCAGCTCTTTTTTCTTTTACTCTTTCAGGATCAGGCCTAAAATGTGCTGGCTAAGCTATTTTTCTCTCTCTTCACCCCTTCAGACATCCTTATATTTTTGTAGATACTCACTATCCACCCCACCATAAATGCTGTCATAAATGCTTGTTTATTTATCCTAGTCATATTTTAAAGACTCACATAGCTAAAATATTTTCAGCTAAGGACCTCTCTTACATACTAGAACGCAAAGCTACTTCTAATGATCTATCATATCTTGCCACAATTTACCTAGAGCATAGGGCATAACAGTGTCGTGCAAAGCTAACCTCTGACCATATGCAAACCTTCGTCAACATCTGGACCTCTAATTTGTAGCATGAATTATTCGTGACACACTTAGTCACGAAAGCTCCCCAAGGCTATCTACCCCAGGGCAATCTACCCAAGGTTTATAAAACATACGTACAGTTTCAGTGGGCTCATCAGTCATCACGCTCTGAAAGTCCACCGTCACGTCATCATGTAAAGCTATTAGCCTACAGACCAACCTCCCTCTCCTGTATCCCCCTTGCCACTTTGTTCTCGTAGATTCCCATTACCTCCACTCTTCTGTCTCTCATGAACTCCTTGCTCATCAGCCTGGTGACGACCTCCTCGTCTCGCCCCAGGTCTCCCATCCTTCTAAGGTCATTCACCTCGGTCTGTATGCAACTGACTGCATGTGTCTCCCCACCACTAGTCGATATTTATCTAATATTTTCACGTGCTGTTCTCCATCTTGTCTTTGCGGCGGAGGCCAAGACTAGCTCAATGTTATCGTCTGACTTTTTATGTTTTTATGCCGACATCGGTGATTTGCCTCCCGATCTGGGATGTTTATGAGTTGAAATCCTTTCTAAAATTTTATTTGGTGGATATATTTTGCTTTTTGAGACATTTCATACACGCGATGGATATGTTTTATATGTTGGCGTATATACAAGAATTTATAGGTTATCGGTTCGTCTACATTTATTATCAATGCAAGATATATTTTTTGTAAATTCGTTCAATGTATTTTTTCCAAGACATAACGTATCAATTTATACTATGATCTACTGATTTATGTGTTTACCTTTAATTTTAACAAAAAATTAGGTTTATGAAAATATATCGGGGAATAATTATTCATAAGTCTGAATGTATCTCTTGTTTATATTTTTATGATGAAAAAAGTTATTTTAATTTGATTTGATTTATTAGTTATGATTGATAGTGGAACATATTTTTGAGACCTTAAATAATTTATAGCTTAACTTGTAATTCTATAAATATAATTTATAATTTCAAACATCGTATAACCACTGTATAATAAAACTGTACATAATTGTGTATAATAATGTATCTATGTTACACATAGATTGTCAACGATGGAAATTTAATGAAAATATTAAAGAATGCTAAGACAGAAAATACAGATAAATGTATAGCACCCATATAACGCCGGACTATTTTATTTCATTTTTGAAATGAACCAATTTGCTAAATCCCAGGTCGTAACTATAACAGGATTATGAGTTTCACGCAGGTTATTACCGCATCTGATCTGATGTAGTCATAATAGCGTGTTGGGCGTAGTGTGGGTAGTTGGTAGTTATAAATCTAGTCGTATTAAACATGTTAACAAAATAATTCAGAACAAAATTGTTTCAACTACCCCTTACAAATATCTAGTCTGACTAGAAAGTAGATAGTGTTCCTATGTTAAAAAATACTGAATGTAAAACTATTGTGTTCAGTATGTTAACTACGAAGGAGAAAGATTTGTTTGATAATTTCACACGAGCAAAACCCCGCGATTTATTTTTTACGATGATACTCTGTTGTATAATGTTTTCTGCAAATTATTCAGGGATATGTACTGACAACACAATCTGCTTTTTATGTCATTTTAATGCATTCTTTACACATTTCCTATGTAAGCATCATGTTGGTGTGTTTTTGGTTGAACTAAATGTTGGGTTTGGTAAAAGACTCTTGTAATTCAAAATTATCTTTAACACAACACGATAGTATATTTGTGTAACCTGGACTTGTAAGATTCGTTTGTACGCCGAATGTATGTCATACATAACACAAATATTTGCATTAAATAACAGAAATATTTAATGTTAATAACAGCTCATTGTGTATTCTCATTGAATACTACAAATAGGTAAATATGTTACATTATAGTTGTATATAGTAATCAAATTAGAACTTATTTGATTAATTAATATCATTTAAGTTGACAAAGCTTACTTAAACCTAACTTGATTTAATAGTGCAGATTTAACAATTAGAAATTACTTTGGTGTGTTTTAGATATAAAATAAACGTATTTTTTGTGTTGGTAGCCTATATTTATAATATGCCTATGAAGAGGCCGATGTTCCCGCCCAATGTACACATATACTCGTGCTTCCCGCGCTTTTAAACTCCTTATTTAGACTTTCTTTGTCCAGCAAGCGTCTCCTCGAGTCACGTTCCGTTATATCAGTAGAAACCACTTTTCCCGGAAATTCACATGTTTTCTAAGCTCTTTTGGCCAAGTCTAAAACTTTCAATCGGTTTTACTATATATTTAAAATTTTGTAAATGACCACAATAATTCGTTAAAAGAGACCATTTTCGGTTATGGACTGACTATTTTTTAATGATTTGTGTCAAATGATATATTCGCATAGGAAACTGACTACATATACAACAGGATGTTTAACGTAAACTACAATACAGTGTTTGCATTTATGGACAAAAAAAAGCTTAAAGCTGGGTTTTCCTAGGCGCGGAGTCGGCGAGCGGAGAGAGGAACGCGGAGAGCAGAATTGAAATTAACATGGCATTCCGCTCCGCTTCTAGGAAAACAGAAACATTAAATTTCCTAAGACAAGTGGAGTCCGCTCTCCGCGTTCCTCTCTCCGCTCGCCGACTCCGCGCCTAGGAAAACCCGGCTTAATCTGGGGTTTCCTAGGCGCGGAAGTGGAGAGCGGAGAGAAGAACGCAGAGCGCGGACTCCACTTGTCTTAGGTAATTTAATGTTACTGTTTTTCTAGGAGCGGAGAGAGGAACGCGGAGAGCGGACTCCACTTATCGTAGGTAATTTAATGTTACTGTTTTCCTAGGAGCGGAGAGAGGAACGCGGAGAGTGGCCTCCACTTGTCGTAGGTAATTTAATGTTACTGTTTTCCTAGGAGCGGAGAGGAACACCATGTTAAATATCTTTTCCGCTCTCCGCTTCCGCGCCTAGGAAAACCCAGCTTTAGGCTTTCTTGCTTCTTTCACTTCACTTACGATCAGCTGATATGCATTGTTGCGCTCTTGTCTGCATGGTTTAAAAGTTATTGGGAATTCGTTGAAAATAAGGCTGGATATTTTTTTTACAATCTTAAAGATTGTATACTGTAGATGAATATATGAAATAAATCAATCAATTAGTGTCGTGAAACAGTTGTAACTAAGTTTTCTGGATCCTACTTGGTCAATCTAGTACCTAATAAATCAACCACAGGTTTATACAGAATTTTGAAGGAAAATAATGAAAAACTTTTGTGTTTCATATAGTAAATTGAAATTTCTTTTTATTTGTATAGTTAAATTGTTTTAATATAAATTTATTTTATTTTACTTAGTCTTAAACACAGGTTGTGTTTCGGATAGAATCTTGTTACTCACAATGACTTCTCTATAACACTAAACCAAATAGAAAACAATGCAACTATGCATCTTAGCCGACACGATAACGAAGGAAAGAAATTAGAACTGCATATTGTCCCTAAATAGTGACTTTACATACTTGTTATTTGGGTTGTCTTTTGTGAAAAACGTACTGTAAATAAGCGAAAAATGTAACGATATTTTATGCTCTCGTCCATCAATTTTCAACTTATCAAATTAATACAATATTAAATGTCTGTACTTGGACTCAACACATTTCAATATGAAAACTACAACGTCCGCTTGCATTTACCGTGATATGATAAGAAAAGAATCTGTTTACTAGTATGGGACATAATGAACTGTTCAACTAACACTTTAAACTCTAAATACAACCTATCTCAACATCAAGGCTGATTTTGTATTAATATGGACTTATTTTATGAGATCAATAAAGCTTGCTCCTGTCATATAGCTTTCCTGCTTTGCACCAATCTTTTAATCATGCTCAACTAAGAGTGTAGTTTATTCTGAACTGTATGTTGTTGTAAATTATTATCTTTTATCGTAGTAAAAATCCTGAAAATACGAAATAAAGCTACATTGCTGACAAATTCAGTGAAAGTATAGTTCAACAACGTCACCAATGCTATACAAACTAGTTCCAGTTGGTTCTTATTTTCTTGTTGTATAAGATTATTTCTGTATCCATATACCTTTTAAAGCTTGTGGTCCGTAGTCAAACGTGGCTACAAAGTATAATTGAGTAAATGAACACGAATTTCCAATATTATCTAATTTAATATTTTCTTTCCATGGATTAACAATAGAATTATGGATAAATTTCTTTGCAAACTTCAGCATTAAGTTAACTTTTATCACTATTTAAAAATTCCTAGTGTATTGAAAACTTATGTGTGTCTACTTAAATTTGTCTTTAGAAAAACCAATCAGCAATGGAAACAAGTGTTACCTCTCTTTCCTCCAGGCGCCTTTTCTGTAACATTTTATGATCCTGGATGACCAAGGACTGCCTTCTCAACATGTAGTTCCTATTCAGGATCCTTCTCACATCAGGATCCATGTTCTTCAACCACTTTACAAACACTGGTCTTATAAAACTCAGCAAGGATAACTCGTCGATGTAATTTTAAATGAATGTCATGTTATGCCTGATGGGTAGGCGCACGGCATGTGGCATATCTTAAAAGATCTCCTGCTTTTAGTATTTTTGTAGGGTTGAGTAATTTATTGATTAGTAATCTATCAATCTTTTGCTGAAATAAGTTGACGAGTGGAGTTTCCTAAAATATTTTAGCCTTGAGTTCAAATAGATTTTGTTTTACTATTCGACGAAGTAGAGATCAGAGTCGATTGCATTTCTATAATAATATTGTAATAATACTGTAGAATTCAATGACATAAGTCAAATCTACGATTGGGCTGTGGGCAACTAAACATTTGTTAAAGCTAAATAGTTTGCGTTGCAAGTCTGTTGCTGTAACGTTTAATTTTCAATGTTTACAGACTGATAAAAGTATATTATAATAATTGGTTTATGGTGAATTGCCGATTTTCAAAACTCAAATTAAAACTAAGACATATTGAAGTTTCATGATATCACATTTTGAATTTAAGAAACAGATTAGATTATAATATATTGCATTAGATTGTGTTTAGTTATATTATATTAGATTAGATTCGAGGCCAACACACTAGGGTGAGTATTTTGTCACAAAGATAAGTGAAAATTGAATATTGGCTGAATGATGTAGCTTTGTTAGTGGCTAAGATCAGTTGAGTCTACAGCTAGACCATGTACTAAAACTCTAATAGTCTAGGACAGCTATGTTCAGTCTCAAGTCCTAAAAAACCTCTAGATGTCCTCAGGATTGACCTTGCAACCTTGCCAAACACTATCCACTCAGTAACTATTCTATGTTCATCGACATCTAGGCACGCACGTCTCCTCGAACTGACTGGACCAGTATTTTTACTACCCAAGGAATAATTGGAATTAAAACTTTGCCACATTTTCAAATAACACTTTTTGCTTATGTAATTGACATAATGTTTCGAACTTCAAAAGGATCGACTCTTCTGGTAGCTGAACTTTTTGAGTTGAATATACCTTGAAACTAGAACCACGTGAAATTAAAATGTTACAGTTTCAAATATGTGGCGTACTAATTTAGTTTTTAGCACGACTAATTTAAATCTCAATTTTTAAATTATAAATCCTACGTTTTTGCCTGAAATAATGATTTCTTGTCGGTTTTAAAAACTAAGACAACTTCATTAATGATTAACAGTTTTGATTTAAATAAAAACCACGCTTCTACGTAGGCTTTGGTTTGTTACAAGTTTTAACTACAGTATTTGAATTTCTAGTTTTAACTACTTTGACACTTAGCTGTAAATTCATTGTTTCTTTATGGATTGTATCATGGAATAAATGCGTTGTCTTAGCAACAATGTTTAAATTTTTAAGGGGGTTTTCAATCGTAAATATAATTTCTGGGTTTTATCATTTAGTAAAGCAGAATGGTGTACTGATTTTATATTTGACGAATTACACTAGTTGTTATTTTAAATAATTTAAACAAACAGGTTTGACGCCAAAATTGCCTCGAATTGCTATTATTGCCTCAGTTCTAATCATATTGTCTTTCAAAAATTGCTCGTATATTTTACATAGCTTTCAGCTTAAAATAGTATTTAACGGATACTAAAATAGTATTTACTAGTTTTGGATTAATAGACAGTGTTTTTTTCAATAAAGTTTCAAAGAACTGCTCCAATATAAAAATAAACAATTTAATAACTAAAAATTATTGATTTAGTGATTGTATTAGTAGGTTATTTTTCTATCGGATATGGAAAAAAACCCATTTTAATCACAAAAGTGTGGTATGGTCTGAAGGTTTGCTGAAACATTATATTTATGTAGCGAAATTAAATTCTAATGGAAAATGTACCTTTCTTTGAGAAGTCCATTTTCAATTTTAGAGGTCCATATTACCTTATCACTGTCCAAAACCATCCTTTGTATTTATTTATTGATTTATTTATTTTTTATTAAGAATGCCAATTCGTCTTTCTTAAGACCTGATGATGTGCTCCATCCAAAGCACGAAACATCTGTACTCATAACAAACTTCAAAGGAACGTTTTAACCAGTAACAAGGTGACATAAACCACTATAGTTAATTTAGACGATCCAAAAGGCCATTCCATCAAGAAACCATTTTGGCAGTAATGTGTATGAAACCTTGGTATTATAAATGTTACTAATTAAGTTCCTCAATTAACCCAGCGTAATATCCCAAATTTGATTATTGTTTTTTTTTTCTGGTCACTTTGTTAGATACCTAATAATTAGGTTTATTGAAATTATATTTTATAAGTTGACCTAAACAAACGTCAAAAACTAAAACTAGGAATATATTTTAAGCTTAACAATTAATTAGATGTACTTTTTTGATGTTGTAATCATGAAACAATTTTTAAATTATTCACCATATGGAATTGCCTATATAAGCGACCATGTTGCTCACACAAGCTGACCACGCCACTTAATCTTTTCTTATTCACTAGACTGGGAAATTGGCTGTCTCTATGTTACGGGTGCAAACATGTGTTCGTTTAATATACGATTCTTGTTTCTTATTTTTTGTTATTTATGCAATCAAACTGATTCTTTGATTAACTATGAATATTATTTGTATCGGTAAAAACGTGTTTCAAAATTGTGCACATTCTTTAACATCCTGGGTAGTCAAATAGTTATAGTGCTTGCCTTCGAGTCTGCAGATTCCTGGTTCGATCCCTAACTGGATATATTCAGGACCCAGATTCTCTTTGCCATTGGGCTATTAAATAATTTTTTATACAACAAAAAGTCTACGTCATATATTAACAATTCCAAAGAGTAGACTATTCCTGAAAAAAAATTATAATGGTGTTAAAAAAAAAAAAACATAAATAAAACAGGATAGTATTTTTTTTACTGACTACATTACACCATTTTTATAGAGCATGTATCACTAAATAATTATTTAAGTTAATATAAGTGTTACATTGTTGTATAGCCTTAATTATGATAATGAGTTGTAACTTTACGTGTTGATGTAATCATACATAAGAGGTCTTATAACTGGAATTCACCAACCACAAAACAACTAGATATTTTTAATCTGTATTTCAAACCACATTAACAAACGTCTGCCCAGGTAGATTTCAACCTGCTTTGATAACAATTGAAACGTTGAATACGGGCAAAGTTAAACCGTAGAAGCATAACGTTGTAAAATATTACGTCACTGACCAAAATTACTTGAAATACATTTAAATATTATATTTAATAGATTTACAATCATCCCCCGAATGTTTGTTTAAGAATGAGAACGTAGGCTATATAACAGTTTTCGCCAGACTGTTCTTTTAACTCTGGTAGATAAGTACAAAGTAAATCTTAGTGAAATAAAAGTCGCAAGTTTTAATTTAATACTCTATCTTCATTTACTTCAGCTTGTAAAGATCAATCCTACAATTAAAGCAAGTATTGAAAATGTTAAGTAAGTAAATTAGTAGGAAATATTCATTTTGCACGAAATAGAGTGAATAATCCGTTTAACTGTAATCCTTAATGAACAATGTTTAAACTAGTTGGAAGGTTTAGTAAATATTTTTAAATTTAGATACAACTAATTGAAAAGTATTCAATATTAGTTATATTGGAATTACCAAATGTGAATGAAACAAATAAAATATTAGACTTCGGGAAAAATTCTCTGCAAGTGAAAATTTAAGAAATGTATCTAGTTTTGACCCAGAAAAATCTCATGATAGTTCTCAGAAAGTTTCAAAACACTTTAGTTTTGTTTTTACAATATTAAACGCACAAATCATAAGTACAACTCCTAGGGAATAATTTTTTTAAATAATCACGTTCCGTGTCGTTTGGACCTGGAAACATTTTCCCAAGTATAAATACCCTAAAAATATATCTTCTTGAATAAGCACAAATCCCTGTGCAACCTTTAAAGAATATTTTTAAAAATAATCAAATACTCAGTTTTTTTATCCTGTACCCAATCCCCAAAATAATTGTAGAATTTAAGACATTCAAAACAATACTAAAATGATACCGAATTAATGAAATTGAAGAGTATACCTTAGAAAATACTCCTAAAATAATTTATGTTCGTGTAATTTTGATCTGGACACTACTTTGCAAAATAAAAATAAAAACTTATTGAACCACCCTGAACAACATTTCTATCTAAATGAGCACTATCAAACTCGATCACTAAATGCAACCATATATTCACAAAAAACTAATAAAGTAGGGTGTAATTTTGACCAATAAATTGTTTTCCAAAATATAGTAAACCTTTTTATATAGTAGCCAACTAAACCCCAACCTGGAAAACGAAAGTGCAGCCCTTATATAATATTCTTAAACGACCAAACAAGTACCATGTAGCTTTGCCTCGATTTAATTACAAATAATACTTGATTTTAAAACATCCTGAACAATTCTGTATTCCTAAAACTATTACTTACTGGACACAATCACTTACTAAAACTTAAGTGCACACCTCAGTCAAAATTCTTTAAAATGAATAAAGGCCCTTAAAATTTTAACTTATGGAAGAATTGAAAAAGAAAGTAATTGTATAAAATTAAAACCCTGAACAACATGCCATTTGTTCCCAAAAGAACACAACCGAGGACAATTCCTAAGTGCGACCCTTATTATTAAGTATTATGTAATTTTTACTCAAAAGTATTTTTTTCGAAAATAATACTACATAATTTAATAAATCTTAGCATCATTAAATATTTTCTATAAACACAAATTGAACCCCATAAATCCTTAGACAATATAAGACCTAATCAAGTGTAGGACCCTACCTTGCGGTGGGCAGGGACCGCCTTCAGCAACAATGCACTGCAACAATGAGGGGTTGCGGGGGTGGTGGTGGAGGGGGTGGGGGAGGGTGGTTATATAGCAACCCCTAACACCAGAGCCAGCAGTCGCAACAAGTGACGACGTCTGGGTAAGTCACGAACAACTTGTAGCAAACTTGATAATCGCTTACATTGTTTGTGTGTTCAACTTAATGCGTAATTCGCAAGTTAGGGGTGTTGGACGAGTAGAATGTTAAGTGGGTGCTTCATCGACTTTTGAGAACGTTTATACTATTTTTAGTCTTCGTGAGTACGAAGTTATAAGAGAAATTTGAAGGTGGCTTAATTGTTGTATTTGAAGAATTATACAAGTTTAAATAGTGAAAGATATGTACTTAATGGAGATTACATATATTTTCGTTACATTTCGTATTGGTTTTGTGGGTGTAATCATTAAAATTAACTCGGAAGATATCAAAAAATAATTACTCAATAAAAAAGAAATACTTTGACTTAGGGTTTTTGATTTGTGTCAAAAATTAAATTAAATATTTTTCAAACGTATTAAATATTCAATATATGGTTTGATTAATAGTTATAGTGCTTGTTTTGATTAAAACTATGCAAGTTACATTCTACAAAAACCTATAAATAAATCTTGCTTTCATAAATACTTTGTAAACAAACAATATTTATAATTGGGGGGTTTGTCTGCTAAGTAATGCAAAAACAAATGTAACTGAGAAACTTTTTAACAATTAACAGAGAAAGCCTTAAAAACGAAGATTAAAAATACTTAGGTATAAAGGTATAAAAAACCTCAATATACAATTTCAATAATAAATCATGTTGTTAATAATGATTTATTTAATGTGCAGCTATTGCCCAATAAAAAAAACCTTGGTTCAAAATTATGATTTAAAAGCATTTCACCAAATACATCTCGAATTATTAGTTACTAAACTAATCTAAAGCTGTATATCTTTTTATACACAGAGTTAAATTTGAGTTGGTAAAATTTAGATCAATTTTCTACATCAATGTTAAGATTATGATAAAATGTGTTAATCTTTTTCGTGTTATGTCTGAAACGATTTAACAATTGACCCTACCATCGATATTAAACTCATCAAACGACCAAACTGGGTTCAATACTTATACTCATAATTTAATAGTTACCAAAGTAAAAGTTTTTTTTTTTTTGTAGGGGAGGGGGCTCAAATATTTTTTACGTTCAATAGGCTGTTACATTCCAAATGTTTCTCATATATGTGAATGTATCATCATAAATTAAAGATTAAGAGTATGTAAAAAACATTTGTAATAGTTGTGATCGGGTAATATTTTATCACTGTCCCATATAAAACTTTTTTCACCACACTATAATACCCTATTACCACTATTCACCACTATAATAATGCACACTGATCGTCAACACAACTACAACTTTAAGGTTAAGAAATAATTTGAGGAATCAGCAAAAATATAAATAAATAGTTGCTAGGCAACGGTGACAATAACACAATTCTTTATTGCAATGCTATGGATTTTGGTTGTGTATTTAAAACGCATTCATGTTCTAAGTAAGTAAGCGGACAGCTGATTTTGCGGCCCCGGCCTGTAAAAACCTGCTCGGTCCCCAAATTGGCGACAGCTGGCATGGCCAGCAAAACGTAACTTTCAGCCACCAATTAGCGTATGTAATACAGCCAAAAACATCATAGTGTGGTGAAAAACTTTTTTTGAATAGTCTTATTATTGTAATGATCAAATTAAAAGATCACTCCCTAAAAATACCTGAAGCATAATTTATACCTATGCAATATAATCTATCAGCAAGTAGATAATACCCTGGATAAAGACCAAAGCACTCCAATCCCTAACTAAAATCAATTTTACAAATTAGTTTTGGAAGATAATGTCTTTATAAAAGGTAGGCTCAAAAGCAAGCAAATACTGTATTTGTAGTCTGTTGATACTAATTACAGATTCATGTTAAATTGTACATGGATGAGATTATTAAACACAGTTAGCTAGTTTTCAATTACCATGTGTTGTTTTTGCTTAGTGCTGTTATACAATGTAATAACATAACCGATTTTTGCACCCTTTTGTAAAAGGTTTTGTTTTTAAATCATTTATATTCATGGGTTTTCTTATTAAATCATCAAATACTTAAAATAGATGTACTATTTACGGTTAGCAGTAATTTTTAAAAGAATTTTCAGAATATATAATCATTAAATTTGCAGTCTTTAACCACAAAAATATGGCATGCTATAAAACATCATATTTAACCATTTAACACGAATCAAATAAGTTGAAAAGTACACGTAATTGTAGCACTAGACAAAAATAGATTCAAAATGTACTTATTTATACTAATATCTTTTTCAATTATTATATTGTTTGGCCAAATAACAGTGTTACTAGGTCAATCATTATTTACGTCAATAAAAGAGTAAAAAGTATTCAGAATCTGGAATCAGTTGGGAAGGATAGAACATGACTATATTATAAGTATACTGGGCAGCGCCTGGAAACTTAATAACTTTACACCAAAGATTTGTTTAACAGTAATCATTTACCAACAATGAACACTTACTAAGCAAAGGAGTGATATTTCTTTTCAAGTAAAACTTTATCTTCTAGCCCAAATATTGACGTTAAAAGCTTTCTACTACCAAGCCTATGTTTTTATTTATTTATTTGAACTTCGAACGTTTTTATAATTATGGACTTTTGAAATCGATTTATAAAATATCAAAATTTTTATGATTTGTAATACTTAACCTTTTCCCTAACTGCATATGCATATGCAATCGACCCACACTGGATTTGAATGACTATTTTAACAATTAACTTCTTATAACTAATTCTTATTCCTTCCTCGTTATTTAAAAACCCCTTCCACTCTTAACGAAGACTCTATTGTGTAAGTTTAGAGTCACTAATTAAAATAAAACGTTGTTTGCGAAGCTGACACCAGAAAGAAATTAATGACCGGAAAGTGCAGAGTGACACAGCAAATTCATTAGAAAAAAATTGCTTCTTGTTTTACTAAGGCTATTCGCACACAGTGTGCATTTACCGCTTATGTGAAGAACATTACTTTGATATTATTTGTTTGCTTCTTCATCATTTTAGTGAAAAGGATCACTTTTACAAATTCCCCCCCCCCCAAAAAAAAAACAAAAAAAACTAACCATATTTTAGGTGGTTGATTTTTTAGAGTTTAAGTTTGCAAAAAGCAACGTTAGTAAAAAAATAATGTGAATGCAAATGATTTTTTTTAATATTTTAAAGCATAAATTATTTTAAATTTGGTGACTCATATTTAATTACCATGTCGTAAACATTGTCTTAAAAATTGCTTTAAATATATTTTTAAGAGTAACAACGAAGTTGTCAACTGAAATCTTAGGATGGTTGTATCGGTGTATGATAAACTGAAATATGTGGTACAGTTTATTTTAAAAGCATTTTATTGCTTGTCAGTGTATGCCTACTACAGTCAAACCAACAGATTTGCTTAATTTTTAGAATGTATATTGTCTCCCTATTGTAGCGTTTGTTTAAACAACTTTAGACAGTCATATCTAATTAGATTTTCGACGCAACACATCAAAAATGACTAAGGGGACTTAAGAATCAAAAATTGATCAAGTCTTGTTTTTATTTACTCTTTTGTTAACTTGTTTTTAAATTATATTGATTATCATCTAGTCATATTAGTCTTTTTTCCATGTTCTCGTTGTATTTTAAATATTTAATTTACTTATATATTTTACCTAGTATTTTATTACGTACATATAATTTAAAAATAATGATTTTAAAATAGGCTAGCATGTTTTAACTTATTTAACTAAATTATCTTAGTTATTCTTATGTGTGGTGTATTTAATTACATTGTTATATTATGTAGTGATTTATTATATGAAAAAATGACGTACCTTATTGCACTGTAAAATGTTTAAAGAGTAATAAACATTCCTATTCTTATTTTAAAGCAAAATAAGTGAATTATCACAGAATCATACAGATAATAGTTTATGTATTTTGTATACACCCATTTAAAATAAATGGAAAGTTACTTTTTACTAAAAGCTGGTTAGTGTATCACCAATCCTGGTCGGATTTGGGTTTGTCCTAAAATAAACAACAATTTAATGGTTTGACCCCATAACAATACGTGGGTGGTCTTTGATGGGTAACCTAACTTTCTATCATGTCCAAAGGACTTTTGTGGGGTGTATGTAAATCATCTTTTTCATACATGTATCAACCCAAACTATTATTGTACCCTATTGAATTTTGAGTGAACCGTAACGAATAACGATTTTTTATCACTTTGTGTAAATTTATTTTCGTTTATCCAGTCGTTCGTGTAACTATTTTGACAACCGTAGTATTTATGTTCTACTTATTTATAAATAGCATTTTTGTTTAATACTATGTTTGAAAGTAAAATCAATGCAAAGAATTGATAAATGTATCCAATGTTTTACCAAATATTACACAAAACAGTTTACCATATTTTTCGTTAATCCAGGAACGAATTAATTAAGATTTCAGTTAAATCGTTTAGGCACGTGGCAAATCAATTTTATTCAAAGGCGATTATTCATGTAGGCAACTGTAGAGCATGTCCCAGGTATTTCAAAAATGGTTTTACAAGCCACTTAGGTAAACAATCAATTCCTTATAAATACCCTTTTTTTGTAAAAACAGTTTTTAATATTCAGCCCTTCTAGGTAACAAAATTATGTACAACATAATTCAATTCCTTACTTTTAATATCCTTATTAACCTGTTTATAAAAGATAAGCCATTCACACACTTTTAACAAAAAAAGTTCTATATTTCGGCATAAGTTTTCTTCAGGAAAAACAAAACAATGTAATGTGTTTACCACTCAGTATCAGATGGTTTAGCGAAAATCAAAAATAAATATAATTTATAAGGAAGTAAAAAAGAAAATTGTTATAAGAAGAAAGAAAAAGTATATACTATCTCAAATTTAGACTAGATGGTGTTTTAGATTTAAGTATTAATTGATGACCTTGTTCAAGCTGTTTTAATTTTAAATCTGTTGCGTCTTTGTATTAATTAACCTGTTTAGTATTTCAACAACTGTTTTACCCTATAT